CGCAAAGCTACACAGAGAAACCCTGTCTCGAAAAACCAAAAAAAAAAATAAATAAATAAATAAAAAAATAAAATAAAAAATAAAGCTAAAATTTACACACACACAAATAATGGAGAGCGATAGAGGAAGGTACTCAGAGTGAACCTCTGTCCTTTGTCACACATGTACTTATGCACACACATACTCTACTCATATCTGGGGACACACAGATTTTTTTTTAAGATTATTTATTTATTTAAAAGAGAGCATCAGATCTCACTACAAATGGTTGTGAGCCATCATGTGGGTGCTGGGAATTGAACTCAGGACCTCTGGAAGAACAGCCAGTGATCTTAACCTCTGAGCCATCTCTCCAGCCCCCACACAAATATTTTTAAAAAGAGAAAACAATTGATAAGATCCAAGAAGAAATAGATGAATCTACAAGTAAAGTTCAGTGATTCTATCAGAAATATATAGAACAAAACAGGGAAACTCAGTTGAACTTAGCAGTTAACTGGATTGAATTAACATCTATGGATATCTTTGTTGCCCAACAGCAAATTTTCAAGCTGACAGGAGTATTCACCAAGGAAGACCACATTTGGGACTGTAAACACCTTCATAAATATAAAGGAATAGGGAATCATACAATGTCTGTTCTTAGACCACAGTAAGCTTGAGCTTGATGTCAGCAACTAAACATAGCTAGAAAATCCCAGGACACATGGAGGGATTAAGTAGCATGTTTCTACGTAACACATGAGTAAAGGAAGACACCCCAAGAGAAATATTTTGAACTGAATGAAAAAAGTGTATGGTACAGTAAAAACAGTGCTTGGATGTGGGGGAGGAAGTAGCTCCCTAGTACTAGGAATTGAGCTGAGGGCCTCTCACATGTTAGGCAGGTATTCCACCATTGGGCTATATCCACATGCCCCCACCTTTTATTTATTTGTTTGTTTTTAAATTTCAAATATTTGAGACAGTCTCACTGCCTTGCCCATGCTAGCCTATGATCCTTTTGCCCCAGCCTTCCATGTACCAATAGGTTAAGTTCTTATAGGGAAATTTATAGTATTAAATATATATCAGAAAAGAAAGGTGATGTAAGTTTAATTATCTGAGCTTCTAAAGAAACCAGAACAAAAAGAATAAATTAATGCAACAGTATACAGAAGAAATATTTGAGTCCCTTTCTTGCCTCTCTCCAGAAGGGGTGGTTCTGCCCCAAGAATAGATCTTGTGAGAGAAAACCAGTTACATTTTATTTATTAATTTGTGATACTTGTTAAACTTCAATCTTGTGTTAAATGTGACTATCTGATCATAATAGGTAATGATATTATACAGCATTTCTTTAAATGTCATGAAGTTAGTATATAAAGGAACATTGTATAGTATTTCCTAAGTAGATTATAATGTGGAGTTTATGGATGCTTTTTTGATAAAAGCAAATGTCAGAAGCCAGCCAAATTAAAAAACTGAAATTTTGTGCCTGGGGTGGTGGTGCATGTCTTTAAACCCAGCACTCAGGAAGCAGAGACTGGAGGATCTCTGAGTTCAAGGTCAGCGTGATCTACATAGTGAATTACAGGATAGCTAGGACTATATAGAGAGACCCTGTCCCAAGAAGGAGGGTGGTGGTGGTTGAGAGATGGCTCAGCAGTTAAGAGTATTAACTGCTCTTCCAGAGGGCCAGAGTTCAATTCCCAGCACCCACATGGCAGCTCAAAACTGTCCAGTGCAGTTCTAAGGGATCTGACACCCTCACACAGACACATGTGCACATAAAATGAAATAAATAAATAAAATATTTAAAAATAATTTAAGAAAAAAAAAGAAATTTGTGGAAGTTATTTTGAAAAAATGCACTTGTACTTATTGTTTAGAATTCTTAATCAGTTACAGGATTTTTTTTTCAAAAGTGAGTCCTTTATACAATAATTTCTGACTATACAATATTAGGATGTTGTTTTGTAGTTGTTGGTGAATATCTCACTAGCTGAATAATAGAGCTTGAAAATAACGACATTTCCTACCCTTTTAGTTGGTGCTTCCCGTGCTGCTGTTGATGCTGGCTTTGTTCCCAATGACATGCAAGTTGGTCAGACAGGAAAAATAGTAGCGCCAGTAAGTATTGCAATAAAATATGCCCTGCAGAATTCTGTAGGGATCAGCACTGTATGTATTTGTTGGACAATAATTTCAGTGATTTATATCTTACTCAGTGATCCTATACAGCTAGCCATTATGATGGTGAATGTGTCCTCACAAGTCTGGAGTTTTTTTGGTCTTAATAAAATGCTTAGCAGTTTTTAAATTAGGAATTATTTTGCAAAAAGATTTAAAGCAATATGAGGTCATAATGCTTGTTATTTTGTATGTGTAGTGTGGTAGAGCTAGTAGGACTCTACATGCTTGACAAGTGCTGTTCCACTGAGCTACATCCCTAACTTATTTTGTTTTGTAAATTTACATTGATTATATTTATTGTCTATAAAGTCTTTTAAGTATAAAAACAGGACAGGTAGCCTATTTTAGTTAGACTTTTGTCATAGAAGCTACTAATGGTTATTGTAGTCTTGTGTGCTCCTGAACACCTAGTTTAGGACTGTATTTTTATCTATTTGTATGAATTTCAGGCTATTTTGATTCCCACTGCTAGAGTATTCCTTTCTGCCAAGAAGATGAGACAGAATCTGTCTGTAGTCCAGGATGGTCAAAAGCTCAGCAGTCTTCTTGCTTTAGCCTCGCAAGTGCTGAGGTTTCAGGAGTAAGCCGCCACCCCCAGCCAGATAGCATATTCTAAACATCTTTTCAAAACTTAAAAGGGAAGTGTAGGAAATATTGAATTAAAAAGTGAATCTTTTAAAGCATTTCCTGACCATTCATGTTCCTTAAGTAATATTTTTCAACCAGTTTAAATTTATATTGTATGAGGAAAATATTTCTATGTAACTAAAAAAAATGTTTTTTGTTATTTTAAAACAAGATTCTGCATCATGTTCATTAAACTCTCCTAGTGCTCTGGTCTATAAGATGATGACTTCAAATAGTCATCTCTTTTTAAAATTTTCTCATACAAAATATTTTGATCATGTTTTCCCTCCCCAACCTCCTCCCAACTCTTTAAGGCTTATCTTTGAAGCTGTTTTTTTGAAATATCTATTTTGTCCTTCTAAAGTTGGGTCATTTATCTTTTTATTGTTTCTTTCTGGAACTTCTTTATATAGTTTGTATACAAATTATTTTTCAGATCTGTACTATGAGTTTTTTTCCCATGCTAGGACTTTCCTATTTTTCTTTTGATGAGCAGAAATGTTTCATTTTTGACAAAGTTCAGTGAAGCAATCTTTCTTCTTTTGGTTAATATATTTTGTGTTACTTAACTTACTTGAAGTCAGAGAAGATCTCGTACTGAGTATAGGCACTAAAACTATTCATAAATTAAGTCAAAGCACTGTGTGACTGACTTGCTTGTCATACGACATTAGTCTGGCTGTGGAAGTGGATTTATTGAGCAGATGAGCTGGAGCCTTCCATGACATTTAATTAGGTGTGGCACACATATATTTTTTGTGGAAATCTTGCGTGTACAGTTTTATGTGAGTAGACACATTGAGGCTTGAATTCATAAAAGATCAACAGCTTCCTAATCAAAACTACTTTGATAAGAAATTCAGTGTATACCCTGAAGTAGCATGCAGAAAGGGGGCATTCATAGTTATTATTAAACAGGAGCAGAGTGCAGGGAGTGCCTGGTGGCATCCTTTCTTATATTGGAAACAAGTTTCATACAACCAGCTTTATTCAGCGTTACTCTTATAGAACTATTGAATTTTGCTCATAAGGAGAGTAAACATTAAATGCTTTGAAGACTTGAACATAACTCATGCAACCCTCAGGGGAATTCTAATGTATTACCTCTCTAGTTGAGCATTGTGTTAGTTCCTTTTCTTGTTGCTGAGACAAAATACCAGACAAAAGCACCTGAAGGAAGGGGAGTTTCGGTTTACAGTTTAGGGGTACAGTCCATTATGATGAAGAAGACATGACAAAAGCTTAATAAGATCACATTGAATCCAGTCAGGAAACAGAGTGAACACTGGTGCTCAGCTCACTTTCTTCTTTTCATTCTGTTGGGAACCTTGGCCCATGGAATAGTACCCATGTTCAGGGTGGGTTTTCCTACCCTTCTAAGCCTTTCTGGAATTCCCCCAAAAGCACTCAGAGAGGCATGTTTTTGTCTCAGTGGTGACTTTAAGTTGACGGTGAGGATTGACCATTACAGGCATACATGTATGTGCATGTATGTGCATATATATATGTTCATACATACACACACACCATAGTTGTTCTTTTTTATTTTTATTTTTTTATTTTGCAATACAATTCAGTTCTACATATCAGCCACGGATTCCCTTGTTCTCCCCACTTCGGCCCTCCTCACCTTCCCCCCAGCCCACCCCCCATTCCCACCTCCTCCAGGGCAAAGCCTCCCCTGCAGACTGAGATCAACTTGGTAGACTCAGTCCAGGTAGGTCCAGTCCCCTCCACCCAGGCCGAGCCAAGTGATCCTGCATAGGCCCCAGGTTTCAAACAGCCAACTCATGCAATGAGCACAGGACCCGGTCCCACTGCCTGGATGTCTCCCAAACAGATCAGGCCAATCAACTGTCTCACCCATTCAGAGGGCCTGATCCAGTTGGGGACCCCTCAGCCATTGGTTCATAGTTCATGTGTTTCCATTCGTTTGGCTATTTGTCCCTGTGCTTTATCCAACCTTGGTCTCAACAATTCTCGCTCATATAAACCCTCCTCATTCTCACTAATTGGACTCCCAGAGATCCACCCAGGGCCTAGTCATGGATCTCTGCATCCAGATCCCTCAATAGTTGGATGGGGTTTCTAGCACGACAATTAGGGTGTTTGGCCATCCCATCACCAAAGTAGGTCAGTTCAGGCTGTCTCTCTACCATTGCCAGCAGTCTGTTGTGGGGGTATCTTTGTGGATTTCTGTGGGCCTCTCTACAGATCGTATAAATCTTTCGCCTTTTACTAAAGATTTCCGTGGAGAGGAACAACTATGTTCTTTTTTTTTTTTTTTTTTTTTTGGTTTTTCGAGACAGGGTTTCTCTGTGTAGCTTTGCGCCTGTCCCGGAACTCACTTGGTAGCCCAGGCTGGCCTCGAACTCACAGAGATCCGCCTGGCTCTGCCTCCCAAGTGCTGGGATTAAAGGCGTGCACCACCACCGCCCGGCTGTTCTTTTTTTTTTAATTAAGAAATTTTCTATTCACTTTACATACCAACCACAGATCCCCCCCTGTTCTCACCCCCCAGACTTCCCCCCTCAACCCACCTTCCATACCCACATTTTCCAAATCAAAGTCTCCCATGGGGAGTCAGTAGAGCCTGGCACACTCAGCTGAGGCAGGTCCGAGCCCCTCCCCCCTGCACCAAGGCTGTGCAAGGTGTCACACTCTAGACACTGGGCTCCAAAAAGCCCGCCCATGTACCAGGGATGGATCCCGATCCCCCTGCCTGGGGACCCCCCAAACAGTTCAAGCTAAACAACTATCTCCCATATCTAGAAGGTCTAGTCTAGTCCTATGGGGGCTCCACAGCTATTAGTCCACAGTTCATGGTTTTCCATAAGTGTGGCTGGTCATCCCTGCACGTTTTCCCTTCATGATCTCGACGTCCCCTGCCCACAGACTCCCTCCTCTCTCTCATAGATTGGTTTCCCAGAGCTCAGCCTGGTGCCCGGCTGTGGATCTCTGCATCTGCTTTTATCAGTCACTTGGATGAAGGCTCTATGATGACAGTTAGGGTATTCATTAGTCTGGTCACCAGAGTAGACCAGTTCAGGCACCTTCTCAACCATTGCCAGTAGTCCAAGGTGGGGTCATCCTTGTGGATTCCTGAGAACTTCCCCGGCACCCTGCCTCTACTTATTCCCATGATGTCTTCATTTATCATGGTATCTCTTTCTTTGCTCTCCCACTCTCTCCCTGTTCCAGCTTGACCCTCCCATTTCCTTATGTTCTCATCCCCCATTCTTTGCCCTCCATTACCCCTCCCCCGACTTCTAAAATCTTTTTTAGAAAACAATCAATTTGCAATTTGCAAGTATAGAACAAAACGTGTGTGTGTGTGTGTGTGTGTGTGTGACCATTTGAGAGTAAGTTGCTGAGACAGTGCCCTTCCAGCTTCAAATATGTGCATTTTCCTACATAACCATAATTCAGCCTTTAAAATCAGAACATTAACACTATCATCAGACTATCTAGTCATCAGACTCCATTTGAATTTTGCCTATTACTTCATTAATGTCCTTTATAGCAGATGTCACTAGTTTAGAGTCACATATTGCATATACCTGGCATATCCTTCAGTCCTAATTTTTCAATCTTGCTTTCACATCATGAGGGACTTCAGGATTATAAGGCAACTGTTGTATTACTGACCATCTAGGTATTTTCTTTTAAAGTGTTTATTGAAATCTTTTACTTTTATTAATTGAAGTGCTTGTTTTTTATTACTGACTTGTGGAAGTTTTTTTTAATAAATTTGGGTAATGAGTTTCTTGTTCACTTTCTCCACTTCTATGGCGTGCCTATTTATTTTTCTGATATGATCTTTAATTGAGGCACTTCTTTGCTATTTCTCATTTGCTGCAAGCGCTCACTGTGAATGGAATTTCTATGCAGAGTCTGTGGTTTTCTCTCATGGTTCTCTCTTCTCTGGAACTTTCTCCACACTTCAGCTGGTGTTGCAGTCACATACCTTCTGTGTATTTTCTTCAACCAGTAAGACTTCAGGTCTTCATCTAAGGGCCTTTATCCCTGTGGAGAAATGGCAGATACCCCAGGTGAAAGGGGAGAAGTATGCTGAACTCATGTCTGCATGCTTCCCTCCCTCCTCTACAGAATTTTGGCTCCTCTAATGCTACCTGCCAGGGTTGATATCCAGCATACTGAAGGAGTTGCTGTCCATATTTGATCCTGGTTTATCGTTGTTTTAGCAGGATGATAAGTCTGATAGAAGCTGTTCCTTTAGAGCCCAGCCATAAGGAAACCTAAGGCCCAGAATTTGAATGCATTACTTCATATGCTCGCTGACTAGTGTGGAGTTGGTTATTATCACCCTAAATAATATCTTAATTAATGTTAATTAATATTGTATTAGTTTTTTTCAGCCATATCCCACTATTGGCAAGAATTATACTTCTGAACATCCAAAATCTCTCCCCACCTCCACCCATTTGAATATGTACTATTAAATCCATCTCCACTAATACTAATGCAGCATTCTTTGTTTTTAACACAGCACATTCATTTATTCTTATTTAATGGGGCCATTTTGCCACTTTTGAACATTTCAAGGCTTATTTCTTTTCTCATTTTGTTATTAAAATATCCGGTATTATTTTGACTTGTTGGCATTTTGTAACAACTTTGGAAAGCATCATCACTGGTTTTTTCTGATGGTGAGGAGCCGAAAGTTTCCTGCTTCAAGTAACAAAACATATAAAGTCAATTTTGCTATCTGTACAAAAATAATTCTTGGCCATACTTCCCGCCATGATGATAATGGACTAAACCTCTGAAACTGTAAGCCAGCCCCAATTAAATGTTTTCCTTTATAAGAGTTGCTATGGTTATGATGTCTCTTCACAGCAATAAAACACAACTAAGAAAAAAGTAATTGTTTTATTTTTTATTATTAATTTGAGAAAGTATATAATTCCCAAAATAGACCTTGAATTTAGTTACATGGCTTTTTTGTCATTCACAACAATTTATAGTGTGAAACAGTTCCCAAAGTCCTTATGACCTCACAGTCTTGTAAGATGTAAACCTCCCCCTGACCCCAATCAGAAGTCACTAGTTAGTTCACAGCTTACTGTTGTGACAATGACTACTTTTTGTTTCTAATTAACTTCTGATTTGGAGTTAATTTCAAATTTAGAAAAATAAAACTAAATTATACAATGTGCGTGTGTGTACATACATGCATATATTTTTCTCTAAACTTTTTTTTTTCCCCGAGACGGGGTTTCTCTGTGTAGCTTTGCACAATTCCTGGAACTCACTCTGTAGCCCAGGCTGGCCTCGAACTCGCAGAGATCCGCCTGGCTCTGTCTCAGAACTCGCAGAGATCCGCCTGGCTCTGTCTCACGAGTGCTGGGATTAAAGGCCTGCGTCACTACTGCCCGGCTTATGTGAACTGTTTTACATTAAGTAACATTGTGGGTTTTTGCTCCTAAATACCTCAGTGCATAATTGTTTCAGACTGAAATATTCTCATCTGAAATACAGTTATATTTATTTATTTTTCCTGTATTTATTACTTTGTGCACACACGGTCTGTTTGTGTAAGTAGATATCAGGAATCTTCCTCTGTCATTCTCCACCTTATTTTTTAATTAATTTATTTATTTTATGTGTATGGGTGTTTTTCCTTTATGTGTGTATGTGCACGACATGCATGCCTGGTGCTGCAGAGGCCAGAAGATGGCCTTGGATCTCTTCAGGCGGGAGTTACAGACAGTTATGAGCAGTCATGTGAATGCCGAGGATGAATCTGGGTCCTCCAGAAGAGCAGCAGTGCTCTGAACTGCTGTGCTGTCTCCCCAGCTCCAGCTCTAGTACAGTTATATTTTATATCCCAATTTTGTTTGTGTTTTTATTCTAATTGTATTTTAAGTATTTATTTATGCTTTGTCTGCATATAAGTCTACACAACAGAAGAGGACATCAGATCCCATTATGATAGTTGTGAACTGCCTTGTGAGTGCTGGGAATTGAACTTTGGAAAAAAGGTCCTCTGGAAGAGCAGCCAGTGCCCATAACTGATGAGCCATCTCTCCAGCCCCCAATTTTCTGTATTTTAATATTCCAATTTTATCATTCATCTTCATATTTATTACTAATTCTAATCCCCCAGTACAGAATCTACATCCATTGTTGTGCCTCTTTAGTCTTTGGTTTCTTGGTTGTGGTGAACAGTAGAGCTTGGTTCTTATTGGACTTCACTCTTAGTCTTTCTCAGTATTCATGCTCCTATTCCTTACCACCTATCTATGACAGGTAAGCTTCCAATCTCTTTGTGGTAGGTGGCACTTTAAATGGTTTTGAGAAAGTTCAGGTGGCAGATGAAGAAATATTGGAAAGTTATGTGGCCCTCTCTAGATGTGATCTACAAATTTGGCATTAGGCTTTCTAGAAGCCAGTTCATATTAGGAAGCAAGATCAGTGCCCTGATTTACAGTGTCCCAAAGGTAAAACAAACTAATTGTACATGGGAAGTATCATTTGGCCTGGTATCAAGATCAAAGAGATATATCCCTTGAGTCCATATAAAGAAGACACTATTGATTGACATCCTCAACAATATCTTGACTATAAATAGGACAGTAGTTTTATAGGGTTGTTTTTATGATGCCCCACAGTATGGGCCAATTGCATAGTAAGTGCATTTCCAAGAGGGGCAGAAATTATTTAGTTCTGTGTCTGCTGTTGAGGCTTATGTTATGGTAAAACTGCAGGCTGGCAATTAAGTTGTCAAACCCTTCTTCAAATGAACCTTATTAGAAAGAATGGAGTTGAAGTCAGGTGATGAATGTATAGAGGTGCTAGCTCAGCTCTGTCCCTCTGCAAGATGATTAGAGCCTAGAACACAGGGTAAAGACTACTGCCTATTTGGGACACACACACACACACACACACACACACACACACACACACACACACACACACACACAGTAAACGTAATGTACTTGCTATAAAAGCAAAAACCATACAAAATAAAGTCCCAGCTTATCTGTGTGTGTCAAGAGAAAAACACTATCCTTTCCTTGTTTGATGTTAATATTGTGCCTGCTCTCTCTAGAGCTCATCATTCCTGCCTTTTCAGAATAGTTCCATTGTTTACCTACTTCCCCTGGGCCCAGTGTGTTTCCTCTACTCCTTTTCTGTAACTTTAAAAAGAAAACTCTCCATTTATCTGGCAACCTCTTTTTCTCCCAAGCTGCTACCCTTTTCTCATCTCACAAGTCTACGCTTGAAATGCTGTTTACATTTGGTCTATTTGCTTTACTTCCCAATATTTTCATCTAAAATTATATT